CTTAAGTCACCTTAAATAATAATCCATTTTATGAATTTTTATTTCCTTCTTCAGTTAAGCTACTCATTAATTTTTACATTTCTTAATATAATTATTGGTCAGAGTTCATTGAACATTTCATTTTTTTTAATTTCATTACAATGACTTCTAAAAATTCAAAAACTTTCTCACCCCATATTTCCCTAAAATTTTTATTCTCACTAATTTTGTCAGTACTGTTAGCTAACAGTAGAGGTTTATTTTAATGTAATATTTTTAATCTAGGCATTAATACATATTGCTACATAATAGAGTTGTAATAGAAAGAAACATGTGTCTGTACTATAATAAATACAGATAGAAGATACTACTTTGAAGACAATGAAGCAATTACCACAATCCTATTTGAGTAGAGAAGTACTGAATAAATAAAAACTAAAGTACAAAGCCAATTTTTTAAAAAACAGCTACAAAAGTGAAATACAGAGTTTATTGTTATGTAGATGCAAAATTGTAAGGAGTAATAATGAAATGAATATAAGTGATTTGCAAAGTAAAAATACTGATTTTCATTATTACTCAATGCAATTTTGAACCACTATAACAATTAGCTATATAACACTATACATTTTTTTTAGACAATTTTGATCCCATTTTGCCATATTTGTGTGTGTGTGTGTGTGTGTGTGCAGAAAGAATGGGTATATTAAAAGATTTTTCTTTCTGAAATTCTCCATCATCATGGTAACCAAACATACAAATAAAAAGGGCAAATTCAATATCAGCTTGCTTGAAGATTCATATTTGAATTTTATTTGGTCAGAAGATTCCCATGACCTTACAATTTGATGAAGAGGAGTAACAGACGATATAATAATTTTATTTTGAAATCTTCTCAGAACAAGTGACTGTAGGTCATACTTGTTGAAAATGCTATGATTCTTGGAAATTTACCATGTTACTACAAATTACATACCTAAGATTACAATGCACTTACATATGGAATTTCAATTCTCTTTGTAATAATCTCTACAACTTTAGAGCTATTATTTTTTGCACAGCTTAATTGTGATTTATACTATTATATGTAAGAGCTGTCCCTTTTAAAAAATTATATGAATGTTTTATCCTCACATATGCCAAACTTATTTCAATATTCTAAAAATGTTTGCTTAGAAATATCTGCTGTACTGTTGCCTTTCTGTGTAGATATTCCTCTACATTACAGAAAGTTAAAAATCTTGTAACTTTATAATAATTGCACAGACTGTTAAAGGACACAGTAAATTAACTAATCAGAGATTTATGTGATAATATTCAAATGAAATTACAAAATATTGTTTCCAGAAACATTATATAAGTAATCACTAATCTATGTTATCTTTTAAAAATTACTCCAAGCTAAAGAATGAAAATTTGAGAAATATTAATATACCATGGGGGAAGACTATGTGAAACTTGGTGGTGGGTGTGGTGTGGTAGCATCTACAGGAAGGGTGTGTTTCTGTATCTCTAAGTCATATACAATGTTGTAAACCAATGTTAATGTCTGTGGATATATCATAATAATTTATTTCAAATGTTTCTTGACATGTGATTTGTAAGTTCCTTGCATCAGTGTCACTTTGGTAAAACACAGACTTCTAGTTGTGACTCATAAGTAATAAGTGAAAATATCAGTTTATTGTACTCAGAATCTCAATATGAACACATTTTTTAGTGAATAAGCATGAGTCTACCTAGAATATCTAGGAAATATAAGACATTTTATAATTAAGAAAATGTCATACATGTAGCTATAATAAAAGTGGGAGGATTAGATTAAAAATTAGCTTAAGAACAACGTAGCAGCAAATAACTTTTTTTAAGTCAGTGATACAGGAGAAAAGATGTCAAAAGGAATGTTGTCAGTCACCACTTAACAGAAGCTATTGACTTCAAGAAACTCTAAAGTAATATCTTCATATGATGATGTGAAGAAAAGAGAACATATATGTTTTTAAATAAATAAGAATACATATGAAAATGCACACACACATAACCCAATATATCCCTGATTCAATAATAATATTGAATGTGTGTGACTAATCACAATGCATAATATATAAGAAATTAAATAATTCAGAATATTGTATGATCGATACATAAAAGAAGCTGATTTTCATTGTCCTAAAATGGAAAATAACTGTGAAATAAGTTCAAAAGACATGATATGCAAGTGTGTATCATGATATAAGCAATTCCATTTTATTTCTTACAAGTATATCAAGGTTGTTCAAAAGGCCATGTAAGACTAAGCAAAGATATTATTTCAAGCTGACTAGTACGGAGCAGTAGATTGCAACAGTGCACATTAAAGATGACCAGGGCATGGGCTATGTATTTTACTTGAGGAATAATGAAAAAGACAGATGCCAAAGATATAGTCAGCATGACTATGCAAATAATTCATTGGGAATTGGACAGGAAATTTTGATGATCTGCACATATTCTGATTCATAAATGTAACGTCATTAATGGCTTTGATCATTATAGTCTATTCAGAGTATGAAGATTTATGAATTTCTGTAAAGTTGGTAAAAATACTTGGTCTTAAATCAACCATTGGAAGAACTTGTGGAGCAGCAAATACTTTAACTAGTAATTTTGTAAGCTAGGCAACAAGAATAATGATTCTGTTTGATTTAATATCCCAAAAGAGGTTATTTTTTAAGACTGGAACAAATGTAGAACAGTGGAACATATTTTATCTTTGGCAATAAAGCATTGTTTTATAAGGAGTATAAGGAAAATTGCAAGGTGATCATTAGTGATTAAGATGTATAGCTATTAAAATTAATTATTTCACCAGCATAGTCTTTGAGAAGCATTCAAAGTATGTAGTAAGTAAAATATCCCCTGGAGATTAGGTATTTAAATGTGCCGCCACAATTTAGAATAAAGATCTCTATCCTTATCTTCCATATTTAAAAATCTGTGCTTTTTTTTAGGGGCTCAAAAGTCATGGATTTATCAGTTCCTAAACTATTTTAAATGTGATGTCAACACAAATTAGAACACATTCTGGCCAATTAGTATTTAATTATTTTATTTCATACAAGCATTTTGGTGTATTGATGAGCCCATTTCTAATCTCTAGTAAGAGAACAAAATGTATCTCAGGTGATTCCTCTTATTTGCTGTGAAACCAGAGTTAGTTTTTTGTTATTTTTTATTCAAAGAGATATGTAGAGAGCAAATTTTTTATTTAATTGATTGTTCAATACAATCGCAGAAAATAGTCTTTACACATATACTATAATTTTACTAAATCCCCCCACCCCCATTGGAGCATATTATAAATATCCTTAATGCTCAGAAAGATTTAACAAAGACCAATTATGTAAAATGAAAGAAAATACTTTACAATGATTAGAATTTTACTCTACCAATATCATATTTTGAATCTTCCTAACCATCATAATTTGAATTATCTAGGAACTATATCTAGAATTAGAAACTGAAGAATTAGAAACATTTTCTGGATCAGTCATCTGCAAAGCCATTACTGAGGAGGAAAAAATGATTTTTAAAAATCAGTGATTTTATTGGTTGCTCACTTATAATTACTTGAAAATGTGTTCATACTATTTCCTGACTTTAATGACATAGAGAGTTCTTAAAAGTTATTTATCTATTTTAATGGTTTACTTGTTGATGGAATGTATCAATATGTATAAAAATGTATATGTAAGTTTTTTAAGAATCTGAGCAAAAGTTATGAAAATGCATGAGTAATTACTGAATCATAATATAATGATATTTTCATTTAAATCATGTTCCATACAGTTTTATAAGTTATCATTATTAATCAAAGAACTATATTCTTGAACAGTAACTTTATTGTCAATTATGCTGAAGTTAATATGTGCTTTTATGACATGAATTTTTATGTTCACAGTTTGAATTTGTCAGTAATGATGATTTTGTGAGATTTGCCCATGTTTTAGGACAGTCAAAACTGTCTTCCAAATATTTCAAATAATTCACATGGCATCATAGAGCATAAATCCTGAAAACAGCGACAGCTTTATGAATTGACTGTGACAGAATTGGCAGAGATCTTGAAATTGTGGTTTTTGAGGTTGGTAAGCATTCCCAGAGAGAGACCTAGTTGGAATGGTTCTGGAAGATGTTCTCTTAGTGTGTACAACTATTCTTGATATAGTAGTATTTGAAAATCATTTTGAATAAGAACTGAAACCAATTAAATTTCTTATCTTAAATTTCCTCTGACAGCTATAAAGAGACATCCTGTGTTGCCAATAGGACTTGTTGAAACAGCGCAGAAACCATTTCAGAATCTATTTTGATGCAAACAGTTTTTGTTTGTGATCTATGTTTAAATAATGGATTCCATTCAAATCTATAATATTAATCTTCCTCTAGACACCTCCCTATAGTGACGTGGTGCTTATGTGGGGATGAACACTTTTCCCAATATTATTTTCCCCCAGCGAACATTCATTATCCTGAGTCCATTGTAATAAAAGTAGGTTTTAAGTGGGAAGCATAGTAATTCCTTTAAGCTGAGTAGAAGAGTAAAATTCCTGTAGCTTGACCTCTGAGAGAAATGATCATTTGCTCTTTAGTGTTTAGCCCCACCCCTTTGAACTTAGAATGAGGAGAAAGAAATATCATAGAAATTGTATAACTTGCTTAAGTGGCAAATCCACGTTTTATTGTGACTATTTGTAATTTTTCAAATTTGGTGCCAATTTTTATTTGGATTTCATATTTACTATGAAATTTGCCAGCTTTAACTATAAAAGAGAAATGACTACATTTTTAAAGGCATTTCAGCAAGTGAAGTCATATTGAAGTTACCCTCAGCAAACTGACAATATGGAGGATATTAACAGAAATCTCTAATATCCATGAATCTGTGATGGTTGGCTCTTCTTTTGTTTTATTTGGCTGAAATAACTTCTTCAGCAGGCTTGTGGATTGTGTTATTCAGTAATTTTGTTTGACCTTCCTAGATGTTCCAGCAACTGGTCAGGCACACAGTGTGAGAGGCCAGCACCAAAGAGCAGCAAGTCTGATCATATCAGCACAAGTAAGTTCCTCGGGTTAAAGTTTTGGATGGTCTATATAACATATGCTTTCTTGACGTTTCATACTATTATTGAGGGAGCTGTTTCATTATTGATGGCATTGAGTCTTGATGGAATTTTGCAGGAAAAGCCATTGCAATCTAAGAGTTTTTTGAAAGATCAAGATCTCACCACTGGTAACAGAATCCAGCCTCTATCAGTTTTTCAAACAGCAAAAGTTCACCTCAAACTTTGGCAGTTTTTCAGACCACATATCTGCAAACCTAGCTTTTCTTAGGAAATGTACAGCAGCTACAAAAACCACAATAGTCGAAAGAATGCTGCAAAAAAGAAAAATAACTCTGTTTTAATTATAGTAAGTATATCTTGTTGAAATGCATCTCAAAGTGTTGTAAAAAGCAGTGTTGATTGGATAAAAAGAAGTTTAGTAATGAGAAAATTCTTACTAAGGAAAATACTTGATTTATTCTAAGGCATTGATTCTGAAATATTCAAATATAACTGAACATACCGCATTAGTCTTTAGGTGTCTGTGTAGATGTGTGTACAGAGCTCTACTCCTTAAACAGGTCTGTGTCATATGGAAACTTACTACACAAACAGTGTCTTTTTCAACAACTTTAAATACTTTTAATATAAAATCTGAAATGAGGCCCTCCCTGGTGGCGCAGCGGGTTAAAGCACTGCACAAAGAAGCTTAAGCCACTTCCGCATGAGCTCGATTCCCGCCTGCCCCCGGAGGAGACCACATGGCGTGGCAGACCTCTCCTGGCCCGCCCGCTGCTCCCCTCAGCAGTGTACTTCGTCTATCTGCCTGTTCTGCTCCCCACTCTGTCTCTGGTGAATCCTCTCACCCTCCGCATCTCTGGCCTGTACCCCAGTTCTGTATGAATAAATAGATAAATCTTTAAAAAAAAAAATCTGAAATGATGTCTCAATTCATACACAATATCATTAATATGACTATGAGTGGAGTATTTCTGAAAAAAAAAATGTAATATCTAACAAATGTATAAATATATTCTTCACTTGAAAAAAAAAATATATAGCTAATTGACAAATGCTTGTCTTAGCACTTTTTCTCTAGTCCTTAACTGCTAGTGATAAAGCTTTCATAAAGAACAACTAACATGGTGCAAAGGGATAAGCACAGCACTACAAAGTTATTCAGAGTCTCTGCAACACAAATTCAGTTCCCCAGCTAGCCTAGGAGCTACCCACATGGTGCAGCAGACCTCTCCTGTCTCGCCCACTGCTCCCCTCAGCAGTATATTTCAGTAGCTCTGCCTGTTCAGTTCCCCACTCCATTTCCGGTGAATCCTTCCACCCCATGAACCTCTGGCCTGTAACCCAGTTCTACCCAGTTCTTGTATGCATAAATAACATAAAATGTTAAAAAATAACATACAGTGGAGTTTGTGGAAAGGAAAAACACTATCAAAGTCAAAAGTATTTGATTTTTAAACTTTGGACTCTGTCTCCCTCCCAGCATTTGCTGATCTCATTTTTTGAAGCACCCATCCCACTCCTGATTTTCTTAAATCTTTAGTGTCCGAAGTTCCACTATTTAGAGATTCATTTGGGCTAATTAATATGACTATCTTTGACAAATACTAAGTGGGTCTATAGAAAGAAGAGTAGACATAAATTGGAGAAGGGGGTGAGTGATATTTCGTATTTAAGCATTTTGGGTTTGTGTAGTGTTCTCAGGGAAAGGAGGAAGAGAAACTTAGCAAAGCCTTGGATACATAATAGTGCAATACTAGGTGTTGAGTGAAGTTATTGGATCATAAAAGTCACAAAATACACCTGGCCTAATTCAATATCCAGAAAAAAAGGAAAAGATAAAAATAACACATATTCTCTTCTCTTTTTCCCAAGATGTAAAGCTCATAATATTACTAGTAATAAATCTAGAGACATACTAATTTGCATTTGATTTTATGAACTAGTTGCAAAATTTCAATCATCATGGAGAACACTTTAATGAAAAAATGCATTTGTGCCAGCAGTCTGTAGAACACACAATAAAATATAAGTTGAACATTGTGAAGACACTGTATTTTACCCTTTCATGTATGGTATTTCTTATATATGATACAAGAGATAAATAGCCACTTAGTGAATCAAAGTAACAATTGTAAATATTGATAAATTTTAAAAAAGAAGAAGAAATAGAATTTCAATTGAACTTTTTAATGTTTTCAGGTTTAAATAAGGTCCATCCACAAGACAAAAATTGGTATTTGGAGGAGGAGTATTCCACATATTTTTATGGAATTTGCCATCTCCAAACAATTATATGATCAATAAGATCCCTTTTAAGGAAAATGCTTCTATTTACAGCCACCATTTCCATAATAGAAACTCTCAAATGGGAAGAAGAATTGTAAGTAGTTGTAATTCTTTTTCCAGAGATTCTGGTAGTTTTCTTTCCATCACTGGTCTGAGGTCATTAAATGCAATGGAAGTGTCAATGCATATTGAAAGGGCTATTAGCTACGTAAATGTCACATTATCTTAGATTTGAGCAAAGTTGATCAAATAATGTCTCTATTAAAAGGTGCTTATTATTAGACCTTTATGCTTACAGAAGCTTGCCTCCATGACTCTGAGAGGCAAAAGGTCATTAAACATCCTTCTAAAGTTAGGAGGGTAATTTTTATTCTTTCACATAAAGTTTAATAGTTTCAACTGACCGTCAAATGTTCCCTGTACTTTGGCAGAAGGCATCAGCCCAATAAGAAAAATGGATACATTACAAATATGTTTTCAGATTTGCATTTCCACTTACAGTGAAGCATTTCATAATCATTGGACCTCAGGATAATCAAGAATGCATGGCCTATGTCAGCCTAACTACTGTTATCTAGAACACAGATTTACCCTTATAATTCATGCACAGCTTTTTAATCACCTCTGAGTAGTCATGTTGATGCTTTCTTGCTCTTGTTTAAACTATCTAAAAAGAAGCCCGTGTAATTAAGCAGATCTATTGTCCTACAACTTTCTACTAAGAGTCCACTGAACAAAAAGTTTTGACTTGTAGGTCTGCTAGACTTAAGTGACCTGTTCAGCTACCATTACTGTTACCTACGGTTCTGCATTCTTAAGCAAGGTCAGAACTGACCTTCAGAAGCTGGTCAATCAGTCATAAGAGCCAAAACTTACAAGTTACCTATCAAATCAATGAAAAGCAGAAAGCTTGATCAATCTGGGAAGGCGATGGCTCATGAGACATGACTGGGAATGCCTTGGGAGGGGTGGGGGACTGGGGCAGGGGAGGAGACTGACATCCCATGTATAACAGGGGACACCAGGAAATATGCCTTATTGATAAGATTAGAACCATCCCAGGGGGCTGAGGTATGACTTCAGTTACAGCACTTGGTCATCAAGCAGATAATAATTATCAGATCAACATACTCATGCCTCTCCTCCCAAGCCCTGGATGACAAAAACACATTCTTTAGTTTCCCCCATTTTTTGTCTTTCTCTTTCTACCCCATGTAACTACATTTTGCTACTTCAGCAGCATTATTCAGTCTGCTCCACAACTCCCATTAGTCAGTGTGGTGTTGCCAACACAACATTGACTCCTGTATTTGTGTGTGTAGAAAACTGGGGTGTTGGGAAAATGTGTGAGGGGGTTCAAGGATTCATAAAAGACAGAGTGGAAAGCCTCTCACCGCCCCTGAGCCTCTGGCCTGTGCCCCAGTTCTGTA